TCTTCCCTTCTTTTACCCAATTACACCAATTACCACCCCCAAGTCCATATTTTTCTTTAATTAGGCTAAAAAACAACCCAGCATGACCTTTAGCCAATCTACCCCACCACTTTCCAAGTAATGCTAGGTTAAATACTCTAAGATCCTTAACCCCAAGCCCGCCATCCCTTTTGCTAGTACAAACCGTCTTCCAATTGACCCAGTGAACTTTCCTACTCTCTTCACACCCACCCCACAAAAATTTATTTCTGATTTTATCAAGAGCTTTGATGATACCTTTAGGTGCGAGATAGACGGACAAGAAGAAGACTGGGAGTGAAGTGAGCACAGAGTTAAGGAGGGTAATTCTGCCACCGAAAGATAACCAACGAGTCTTCCAATTCAGCAACTTCTTATGGAAGGATTCAATTAGTGGTAGCCACATGCTAATTCTTTTGTGATTGCCACCCACTGGAACTCCCAAGTATTTAAAAGGCATTTCACCAGTTTTGCAATTGAGTATCCAAGCCATTTTCTGCAACCATTCTGCCTCTACATGAATACCCATGAGTTGGCTTTTGTGATAATTAATTTTTAGGCCTGAAGTAAGCTCAAAAGCTCTCATTATGCTCTTCACAACCTGGATGTTTTTCTCAGAAGCTTCCCCAAAAATGATTGTATCGTCTGCAAATTGGATGTGCGAGAAGCTAGCTCCTGAATTCCCCACTTTTACTCCTTCATACAATCCTCTGTCAATTGCAGTATTGATAATTCTGTTCAGTCCTTCTGCGACTATCAAGAACAAGAAGGGAGACAATGGATCGCCTTGCTTAAGTCCTCTTGAGACAGGAAATTGTTTAGATGGGCTTCCATTAACCAACACTGACAGTAGACTGGTTTGAAGACACGCCATGATCCATTTTCTCCATATTTCATTGAACCCAAACCTCATCATCATGTAATCAAGGAAGTTCCAATTCACCTTATCAAAAGCCTTCTCAAAATCGACTTTGAAGACGAAGCTGCTCTTCTTTTTCCTTTTAGCTTCGTCGATAATTTCATTTGCCACAACAACTCCTTCACATAACTGTCTGCCTTCAATGAAAGCCATCTGGTGTTCCCCAATAATATCAGCCATTACTGAGCGTAGTCTAGTGGAGAGCAGTTTGGCAATGATTTTGTATAGGGAGCCAATGAGTGAAATAGGCCTAAACTCCTCAATTCTTTGTGGGTTCTTCACTTTTGGGATCAATGTTAAGAAAGAAACATTTAGGCCTTTTACTAGCTTCCCCTTCTTGTGAAATTCTTGGACAAACCCCACTATGTCACCCTTTATCTCATTCCACATTTTCCTGAAGAAGGTGAAATTGAAACCGTCAGGTCCCGGAGCCTTGTCGCACCCACAATCCCAGACTGCTGCTTTAATTTCATCTTCACTAAATGGTATTACAAGTAGATCGTTCTGAGTTTGGGAAATTTGTTTGAAAAAGATGCCATCCATATTCGGCCTTCTCCATTCTTCCTCTTTAAACAAGTTCTCAAAGTAGTCTGCTATGCCATTTTTTATCTCATCAACATCTTCTAGCTTTTTGCCATTCACCTGGACATTGACAATCTCTTTCCTTCGTTGTCTGCTGCTGATACATTTGTGGTAAAATTTGGAATTTGCATCTCCCTCTCTCATCCACTGTTTCCTAGCTTTCTGTCTTCATTGCCCTTCCCTAACCTTCAAGTTACTCCATAGTCTGCAAAATTCTAACTTTCTGTCACTTACTTCCTGCCTTGAGAGAGTCCCTTGTTCACCTTTTAGATCTAGTGCTTCAATTTTTCCTTTACTTTCAGCAATGCTCTGATCCAGCTTTGTGCGGTCATTCACACTCCATTCCTTGAGCCTTTTCTTAACAGATTTAATTTTCTCCTTAACACAGTAGCCTTTCCATCCTTGAACCTCAGCTGTTCTCCATGTATCTATTACCAATTCATGGAAGCCTGGCTTGTTAATCTAGCTATTGAAACATTTAAAAGGCTTAGGTCCCCAATTAATGTTGAAATCTCTCAACAACACTGGACAGTGATCAGAGAGTGATCTCCTTAACCCCCACTGCCTTGTTTCACTCCAATTCATTAACCATTCTTCTGTCATTAGGAATCGATCTAATCGACTCATAGATTTTCCACTAGAGTGGTACCATGTGTACTTCCTCCCAATTAGAGGGATATCCACCAAACCAGATTCATGAATGAATTTTGCAAAATCCCTCATGCTTCTCAATACACTAGTGCATCCAACTCTCTCCTGAATGTTTTTTGTGGTGTTAAAATCTCCCATGACACACCAGTTTCCTTTTTGTTTTGTAACTAGAGTTTTTAGCTCAGACCACAACTGTCTCCTTCCTACTAAATCACAAGGGCCATAGACATTTACAAGGTACACTGGTGTTTTATTTGATCCCCAGAGTCCAAACAATCCCAAATAGTGGTTCCCACAAAAAACTCGATTCATCTGAAAAACATTCTTATCCCAAATACAAATCAATCCTCCTGAGCGACCCACAGAAGGCATAGCTGTAAAATCAAAATCATCCGTGCTCCATAAAGCTCTACAAGTTTGATGATTGACTTGTTCTAACTTTGACTCCTGCAAAGCTAAAAACTGCACTTTTTCTTTTGCTACCCACTCCTTGATTTCTCTTTTCTTGCCCGAACTACCTAAGCCTCGCACATTATAAGAGAGAATGATCATGGATGAGTTGGACGTACCTCACCACCATTCGCCATATTCCCTTCCAGCATTTGTTTTTTGGCATTGACGTCCCTCTGCTCCATCAGCTCAATCTTGTTGATGATTTCTTCTTCATTTCCATCAGCACCTAAGCCCATTTCTTTAATGAGATTCCACACATCTGGTGCTGAGATGGCTCTCTCCTTGTTGTGAAACCCTCTGTTGCAATTTTCAATTGCACTATCTGTGATTGATGCGCCCGCTACAGAGTCGGTTTCCTTTGGGTAGAATTCAGGAACTCCTTCTCTCAATTCCTTTGATGATCTTGGCCGATTGCGACCCATCTTCTGAACCCCGGCAATCTCTATTGGATTGGAATCCTTGTACACTGCAAGGCACGATCGAGATTTGGCCCGCTTGTTCTTCTTTTTCCTTCTCTGTTTCTTTCTTCCGCCTCGGCTATTTCTTTCATCAATTAACTCAGAATCGCTAGCTAATCCATGCCAGAAAGAGTTGATTTCATCATCCTCACCTGATTCCTCTTCCAGTCGCCGCTCAAGAACATTCCTGCCCTTAGATATATCATTCGGATTTGCCAGGTTGTTAAGTGATGAAACTGCAGTTGTTGTTTGAGTTGGCTTGAGTTTATAGCATCCAGGTATTTCTTCGTTAAGCCCATCATAGCTGATATTAGGCTCAACTCTGTTAAAATTTTCCAAGTTGGTGTAGTTTGGCTGGGCTACCGAAGTTGGCCCAATATTTTTCTCAATGGCCCACCTCGAATCATGTGAAACCCGACCCAGAAGCAGGGGACCACTACTGGATTGCTCAGAGGATTGCTTCATCAGTTCATCTGCTTGCTTCCCAATTTCCCCATTCAAAATGTTGAAGTCATTTGAATTTTTCGGCGTCGTCAGATTTTCATTAATTGCCTCTACTGTGCAGCCCCCCTCACGCCTTTCTTGGGAACAATTAGCTGTCTCTTGCTGCCGATCAAATCTGTTGTTGATACTGTCCCAGTCAGAGAGATCTCTCGAGTTCCTCGCTAGGGATGCTTCTCCAACTGCCTGGTTATTAGTTACGTCATCATCTTCCCCATCGGACGCCGAGTCGGAGTCGTTTTCATGCAAGACTCTATGGTTGCCAAAACCTTGATCAGTAGACCAAGATTCACTGCAATCTTCCTCAGAGAATACTGGTCTGCAATCTGATTTTAAAGAGAAACTGTTATTTGTTGTCTCCTCCTCTTTGCACATTATGCGGTAGAAATGGCCATTGATTTTGTATGTAAGGGTTTTGGATATTTGGTTCGTTTCTGAAGTAGAGATCAAAATTCTGGCCACATCAAATCTCTTTTTAGAGCTAGTACTCTCATCTAAAGTAATGAAATTCCCCCATAGATTTGCAATTGAGATGAAGAACTCGGGTCCCCATGCATGCAAGGGAACTCCATAACACTTTAGCCAAACAAATCTCTCATTAGCAACCATTTGGGGGCTCCAAGGCTTAACGTCAACAAACCATTGCCCAAGCCAATCCTTAGCTGACTCAACCAATTCTTTCAATTCCTCTTTATCATCACAGTCCATAAGAACGAATTTCGCACCCATTGCACGAAGCTTGATTGAGAAAAGGCCTTCCATGTATAGTCTTTCTTGAAGAATGGGCACAATCTCCACTGATCTAGCTGTTCCAACGTAGCATCCCACTAGCCATTCCCAGTCTTCATGCTTTGGATTAAACTCAAGTCCAGTCCAATGCAGCTCCCTCCGCTTCTCTACCCATTTTTGCGTAGTTTTGCCACTGTTGATTGTGATACCTGGTTGGGCTGGTTTGCTACCCATATTAGTCATCCTTTCTTCGCCTCTGCTTCTAACCCCTGTTACCACCTCTGCATAGCTGGGTTTAGAATCTCCTGCAGTATTTGTGTGAGGTTTCCTTTCAAGGGCAGTCTTTGCTTCAGTATTGAAGCGAGGAGGGTGGATTTTGAGCTTATGGTTGCCAATCCATATCTGATTTAACTGCCTCCCAAGACTCCTTGCGTCCTTAACATCAAGGAATCGGACAAACCCAAACCTGCTTCCTTCTTTATTCTTTCTCTGCGGGCTGTATATGGCGTATACACGTCCGAACTTAAGGAAGGTCCTCCACATTTGCTCGTAAGTCCAACCATCTGGAAAGTTTGTGAAGAAGAATACTGTTGCTTGGTTGTAGAGGATTCGATCATAGCCACCTTCATACCCTTGTCTCTGGCGATCTCTATACCAGCTAATTGCTCCGTTATTCCTTCTGTTGCTTCTTCGTCCTCCGCTCTGTGCTCTGTGCTGGTCCCATGGTCTCTGTCGTCCGCTGCCTCGCTCCCTTGGTCTGCCTCGTTCTCTCATCTCGAGCTCACAACCTCCAATCAATTAATTGTCTTTTCTTTTCTGCCTCTTGTTCTGCAGCTTGCCCAACCAAAAATGACATATATATTTGTCTAGCCAGCAGCCCTTATTAGACTCCTTTATTTGGAATTGAAAAAAGGTATGTGTTGTTTATATGGTAACATTTGAATTGTTGTTGTTATGAAGCTTTAAGTTTTGCAATATGTTAGGCAGTTAGGTGACCTGACGGGCATTGCTTTTGTATCTTTTGAGAATGCACTATATACTAAACAAGATTAGATCATATGAACATTTGCTTAAGATGAAACATCTAAGATTATTGTAGACTTGGAGGATTTTTGGTCATGTGCTTAGCGGGATATCTGCCGCTAATCATTGTCAGTTTCAGTCGCAAATTGACTGATCATCAGCATTATATATCTGGCTTTGGGAAATATCCATTAGGAATAGAAAAACATATATGCTGTTTGAGGACTTCAGAACAGACAAAAAATCAAAGCCATTTCTTAATTACATGGTGATTCTGGTGTTGCATATGTAGAGGGACATCGTGCTCCATCTGTTGCTGGCTGATAGATCACAATGTCAAATTCAGTCAAGCAATATCATGACATAGCACATGCCTGTTATTTTCGATAACGATATAGGGTTACAAAATTTATCTGTCACCTGACAATTAATCATTGAACCCAATATTATTTGAAAAGAGAATTAAATGTGCCCTTTTACGTAGTTTTGAAGTCAGAATATGGAAATTACCAAGCTCTTAAGTTTAGGTACATGAATCAATTTTTTATTTTTTTATTTACAATAAAGTGTTCTCAATTTAACTTTCGCACACATGGAGAGTAACTCATCTTCGAGTGATATTAATAGTGCACTCTTCTTTGACTTTGGTACATTATAAAAATTAATTTTTTAAGTGTTGATCTTAAAATTTAAAGTTTAAATTTAATTTATAAAATGAGACTTAATTATCATAATATATAATCCTTGGGGTTGTTTAGGTACATGATTCATTAGCCTATAAAGGCCAGTTTAAGAAGGCAAGTTTAAGGGAGAGCATTGGGTATGGATATATCTGTTATTTACAAATATTTTACCTATTTAAGTAAGGACTATATTCAAGTTGTTTAAAATTGATAAGTAATGGGTTTGAAAATAACATATTTGTAAATATCAAGTTAAGTAATAAATATAAAGGTTTAGAACTGATTAACTAATATATTTGACTAACTTATTACATATATATACTTTTATAATTGAAATTTTACATGTACTTCTACTTTTAATATCTATATAATAACAATAATTTTTAAAAATAAAAAAAATACAAAAAATCAAAATAAAAGTTAAATAAAACGTATAAGCTAAACAAATTATATGCGCAATAATAACATCTTGTTTAAATAATAAATCTTAAACAAAACATATAACATATGTAACAATAATACTTCATAATAGAAATTTTCTTTCTTTAAGCTAAGTATATAAGTATATTCCTACAAATTACTCAATACTTGTTAGGTTAGATACCAAATATAAGTGTTCAAATATTTAGGTAGGTATCAAGTTTTAAAAATTTATATCAAAAAATTTTTAAATCAAATATCAAATATAACTAATACCTAACTTATACCAAAAAATGCATACTTGAGGCAAATTATCGTTTTTTTTTTTATTAATTTCTTGATATCCAATAATTATATTGGGTCTCAACTAATCCGAAATCGAGATCTGTTGGACTCTATTAGGGAAAAGCTCTCACAACGCCTATTTCTCCATTCACAAGACTTGAACTTGAGATCTTACTTAAGGGATTAGGAGGAAACTTTTTCAGTATCTATTTTTTAATTCACAATACTTGAACTCAAAATTTTATTTAAAAAAAAAAACTAAATTTCATTCACTTGGATCAACAGGTCGTTAGTAAGACAAATTGTTGTTAGTTATCGAATACCCAGGCGATGGAAACGGGACTTGCTATGAAACTGGGCCTCTAGAAAGAAATTGGACTAAATGTCTAAATCAATTCCAAAAACTTGGGTTTTTTTTTTTTCAATGAGCCTCAGACAGTGTTCGGGTCACCTCAGTAAAACCTATACCTATAAACAGGGAAGGAGGCCCATAAGCCCACATCAAGGACCAAAGTTGGATCATTGGGCCACCCATTGCACATGGACATAGCACATGATCTGGCTAAATTATATCCGTCCACGTCACCAACATCAAAGATTCTACTGTATCTCACAGAGGGACACGAGTAAGAACTGGAATGTCCGAATCGGTTTGGGACTTTTCCAGATCCTTCGGGTACTCATCTCTATATCCTCGCGAACTTTCCATACCCTGCTTTTTATATGTACTCCCAAAATTTTCTCGCTATCTTAAACAGTTGCCAACCCTTCAATCGAAGCAGTTTTCTCGCTGTTCGCCGCGCATTCCATCAGGAAGCTACTGGTAAGATTTTGATTCCTTCAATTTTAGAGCTTTTTTTTTTTTTTTCTTCCCGAGAAACAAACAAGAATTCTGTTACTCTGCAAAAAAATTTCTTGAAAGCAACTAACTGTTTGGTTAGAACCTAAATTGCACTTGCAGAGATCTTTAATTTCAAGAATTGAAAATGAGCAGAGTTGCTGATGTAGTGAATCATCTGTTGAATTTCCCTGAAAATATTGAGAAATTCATTTCGACTCCGCGGACCCATGACCTCAACGAGAACGAGAACGAGAACAAGGGGGCAAGCAGCATTCCGGTGGACATTCTGGATAGTCCCAAGGAGTACATCTTCTACCTTGATGTGCCGGGATTGTCCAAGTCCGATATTCAGGTAATGCTAATTCCACCTCGTTGACATCCCCAAACCCCAGTTATCATCATTTCGGTGATTTTGTTCCTAATTTTGTTTGTGAATTGCAGGTGACAGTTGAGGATGAGAACACACTGGTGATCAAGAGTGGTGGGAAGAGGAAACGTGAAGATGGGGAGGAAGAAGGCTGCAAGTACATTAGGATGGAAAGAAGAGCGCCCCGAAAGTCAATAAGGAAGTTCCGGCTGCCGGAGAATGTTAATGTATTGGCGATCACAGCCAAGTGTGAAAATGGGGTTTTGACTGTGGTGGTGGAGAAGTGTCCCCCACCTGCTAAGCCCAAGACGGTTGAAGTCCCCATAGCATGAAAGATAGACAGGGACAAAGAACTACCTTGAATTTGTATCAATAGGGTTCAAGTAGTGTTATGAAAATTATGTTTAGATAGTTTAAGGAATTGTTGTAATTTCTCGCAAAATTTGACATTCTGTTCTTTGGCGCCTCTTCGCAGGAATCATAGTTCTTCTTGCTGTTCTACTTCTTATGAAACGCTGCCATTTTCAGTACTTCTAGTAATCTGTTCTTTGATTTAGCAATTTTGAGTTTTTATTTTTTTAACATATTACAATTATTACAATTATTTACAGGATAATGGGGAGAGATAGGGAAATGGGGTTCGAACATTGTAAACGATAGAAGTAAACAGTGTTGATTCAGGTCTAATGTCGGAAGGTCGTTCAATTTAGTAATTTTGAATTAGTTTGTATGTATTTTGAAATTAATATATCTTTGATTTGATTAATTAAAGGTAAGTTATGCTCTAATAATGATAAATAACAGATTATACAAAATTACTAATAAAAAGCTCATGAGAGCTAACTAGAGATCACATGAACTCACAAGCAATTTCACGCCATTAAACTCGACTGTTGAGTTACTAATTTACAATTTTCCTTTTTTCTTCTATGAATGGGCTTTGTTCACAATTGATGGAAGGCCCATAATTAGGGCTTTGGGCTTAATAAGTTGATTAGAGTTTGAGGCCCATGATGGTAGGGTTGGGCCTAAACTTTAAAGGGTTTCGTGGGCAATTATGTCATTAACTAACATAGGGTTTCCTCCTTCCCCTCAACCCCACCATAGCTAGAACCATATACAAACAAAGACGGCTGCCCACCGTTTTCTCGCCAAAGCCCTCATTTGCAGTGCCACTGTCTTTCCCGGCGGAAGTCTTAATACCAAAAGACTTTTGAAGGTTTTGCTTTGCAGCAGCTATGGCGACCACAGCTCCAGCAGCGACAACGGCGCAGCTTTCTCAGAAGGAATCCGACATCCAGATGATGTTGGCTGCCGAGGTCCATCTGGGAACCAAGAACTGTGACTACCAGATGGAGCGTTACGTCTTTAAACGCCGCAATGACGGTAAATGTCTCCAATTTTCTCGTTTGAATTTGCGAGGTTTAGAATTTGTGCTTGTCCTAATTCATTATGGTTTTGAGCTTATTTCTACACTAATTTTTTCGATCCTTTATACATGTATGTTTGCATTATCACGAGATCTGAGAATATGAATTGATTTTGCTGAATTATGTTTACTAAGCACTCGTGCGACATTTTGGTGTGTTTTGCTCAAATAAGAGGAGAATTATATGGCAATGATTATCTGAATTAGGTTGATCAGGATTCAATATTGTTTTCAGCTACCAAATTACGTTAAGACATTCACTGTACCATCGGATAGGAGGAGCCTCCAATATCATGGGACCCATCCCTCGTCCAACGGAAAAGTGTTTTGCAGTTCCATACAGTTTGGACTGCAAAACACTTTTTCGTAATGGAGTCTCCTTACAGTGATTAAAATGGTGATGTGTGATGTACTGAGGATGCTAAATTATGATATGGGTATAATTTGTTTTGTTGGTGACTAACTTTTTTTTGTTTCTTCATAGGGATCTACATCATTAACCTTGGTAAGACCTGGGAGAAACTACAACTTGCAGCCAGGGTTATTGTTGGTATTGAGAATCCTCAAGATATTATTGTCCAATCTGCCAGGCCCTATGGCCAGAGAGCTGTGTTGAAGTTTGCACAGTACACTGGTGCTCATGCTATTGCTGGGAGGCACACTCCTGGTACATTCACCAATCAGCTTCAGACATCTTTCAGTGAGCCTCGTCTTCTCATTCTCACTGATCCTAGGACTGATCACCAGGTAAATCATGTCTTACAGTGTTTTTAAGGTTTGTTCTTTGTGAATCTATAAACTAAAGGACATGTTTCCTTTTTTTGCTACTCTTTGCTTGAGTTAACTTTGCCCAGAATCTAATTTCTTGCAGCCCATCAAGGAAGCTGCCCTTGGAAACATTCCAACAATTGCTTTCTGTGATACTGATTCTCCAATGAAGTTTGTTGATATTGGTATTCCTGCCAATAACAAGGGAAAGCACAGCATTGGTTGTCTGTTTTGGCTGTTGGCAAGGATGGTTCTTCAGATGCGCGGTATCATTCCTCCTGGACAGAAGTGGGATGTCATGGTATCATAATACCAAATTTTATGATTTGCTTTTACATAAACTATGGTTTATTCCCCCTCCCCTTTTTTTTCCTTTTTCCTATATTAAACATTCATTTGTACATGCAGGTGGATTTATTCTTCTACAGGGAGCCTGAAGAGGCCAAGCAACAAGAAGAGGAAGAAGCAGTTGCTGCCCCTGAGTATGGACTTATGGGTACTGATTTTGGATTGGGTGCTGACCAGTGGCCTGCACAAATATCTGATGCCCAATGGCCTGCTGATGGTGTTCAGCCACCTATTGCTGCTGCTCCCACTGATAACTGGACTGAACCAGTAGGTAAGAATTGCTACATTAGTTTGTTTAGTATGATTTTTCTGTTGGTTTGTAATGCTTTTCTTGATATCTCTAATTGTTCTTTTGCATGTTTTTATATTTAATGCTGTCATTCTATGGCATGTTGAGTCTAGTGAAGCTTTGCCGTGTCCAAAGTATTAGTTTTGTTTTCTTTCAGCCTTCTCCGGCTGATCCCTTCTTTTAACCTTGAATGCAGTTCCTCCGAGTGGAGATGATTGGGATGCTGCAGCTCCTCCACAGATTCCGGGTTCTGGAATCACTGTTGCTGCTCCTGCTCCTGCTCCTGCTCCTGCTCCTGCTCCTGCTCCATCTGGCTGGGAATAAAGAGGAATATGGAAGGATTTTTTTGTTTTGACAAGTTATTCTTACGAGCTAGTTTTGAACTTGAATCAATTTCTCTTGAGCAACAATCGTGTTTCTGTCAGTGTTTAGTTTTAGAAATCAGAATTAGATATTTCGTTGAAACCAGGTGAAAGTGACAAAATTCATTTTTAGCTTGTGCTGAAATTCTTAGGCATACCATGCTTCTAATTTCTTCATATGTCAACATAATCTAGTTTCATTGATGGTTTGCGAACCTTCATTTGAAATGCTCCATTAAAATCTCTATGCAAGTCTTGTTTTAAAAAATAAGTCCTACATATACAAATCTTAGATGAGGGAGGGAAGTCGGGAGCTGTCCTTTCATCCAACAGTCTCTGATCGGACTAATAAACAAAAAAATAATTTTATAATTATCAAATCTAAGATCTTTGTAAGAGACTTTCTCAAAAAAAAAAAGAAAAAAAGAAAAAAAGAAAGATCTTTGAAAGAGAAAAGACTAACAAAAAAAAAAAAAAACAATCAATCATTACCAAATTCTAAGATCTTTGAAAAGGAAAAGGGTCTCTAATTTTATTTATTTATTCTAAAATGTTGAAAAGGTTTGCTTTTGTTTCCCTCCCCTAATCTTTACAATTCTGAAAAAATAATTATTCCCAAAGTGTATGAGAAAATTCAACATGACAAAAACACTAATCTATTTATAAATATTTACAAGGCTACCTATGGTTTATGGAATCTTCCCTAGATTGTGAGCTCGGAGCTCCCACATGAGAAGGCTACATTTACCGTTTCTCCTCTTGTATCATGAGCAAGTTCGAATCTTTGATCCCCCTCTTTGGGTTTCAAGCATAAGCAAAAGCAATCAGTACAAAAGCCGAAAGTTACTTGACTTCTACGTTACCATAGCTAAGGCCGCAATTCTTCCTTTCTCAGTAGAGAGTATCTTCCTCTTTTATTTTATTGCACGAACCCGCGTCCTTTGGATGGGTTCGATTATATACCCAGCTTGAAATGAATGTTATCATTGACTAATTTGCATTAGATGTCCACGGGACAAGCATTTCTCCATGAGTAACCCAATGCACAAAGTTCTCGGAAAATTCATCAGTTCGATCCCCTACCTAGGAAAATATGAAAAGATGTCAAACATAAACAGATTCAGTTAAGAGAGAAGCAATATTGTTATCGTGTGTTTCCAGCAAAATGCGGCAGATACTTGCTTGTAAAATTAAGCGATGGGAAAATGGCAAAAGTATGGTATAAGTACCCAAACGTATACAAAATTTGCAATTTCAGACCCACTTCAATTGCGTTCAATTTAAATTTCAAACTACACAAAGTCCCAATTGGATGGAAAATTAACTTCCATCAAATCTCTTACTAACTCTGTTAATGTCCGTTACTCTAAACTCTTGTTGCATTCAATTGAGACATTAATGGAGTCAATAAGACATTTGACAGCAAGAGAATATTCTATCTAATTGGGACTTTATTTGAGAATTTCATGTAGTTTAAGACTTTAATTGAGCACAATTAAAGTTTGGGTCTAAAATTGTGAATTTTGTGCAAGTTCGGGTCCTTATATCATATTTTTGCCAAGGAAAATATACCAATATCAAACATAAACAGAGCCTGGTCATCTAGCTTACTGCTATCATCCCAGGTGAAAAACCAACCTTCACTTGTATAGGAACATACAAGACTCGAAAACGAAAACCACCAAATGGATATGAAATGCTTACCTTAATGCTCGAACCAGATTCACTGGGAGATGTAGTCATTTCAATTTTCAGATCAGCAACAATACTCTCGGAGGATAGACTAGCAATAGACCTGCCATCAATGACACAACTCATGAAACTTCAGCAGCTGAATTCCAAACTAAATCTCTGCAACTGAAAATTGATTGAAATTACAGAAAAAGGTACATGCAGGGAGAATAGAAAATCATAAGGTTCCGGTAGAAATTTATCACAATGATCTTTAATCGCATTGCTTCCTTGAGACTACTTAAAAGTTAAAGAGTAAATTTCTAACTGCTTTAATGCACCAAGCAATGTTTTTAAAGACCATATGGTATCATTTGGTCTTTAAAACGAATAAAGCAAAACGTATCAATTTTCCTTCTTTTTTTAGAATATAAATATTTTTTATTAAATTGTAAAACTTCTTTTTGCTTTCCCCTCTCCAACTTTCTCTCTATAAAAAGACATTAGATGAACAGCACAATGGATGGTTACAGCTGATGCCCAACAATGCTACTTATGCCTACTGATGGTTACATAATATTTGAAATGTATGTATCATTACCAATGTTCACCTAAAGCCGTAGGTTAGCATGACTGTATGGTTTTGGTGGAACTGTGTTATCTGGAAAATTTTCTGGTTTAAATGAAGTACCTTCTACTAGGATGATTTTAAGTACCTGTGATGAACATCTTCACATGAATTTCCTGATGACGAAAGCCAATCCTTATCAAAATTTGTGCAGCTACATTCCTCTCCATTGTCATCATAACAAATGTGATCACTTTCAAAGAAAAGATCATTTTCCATGTCTCCAAAAAGTTGCCTGCAAGACAAGATATGAGTATAGCTAGAAGGCCAGCAAACATTTCATCAGTGAGATTGTAGATTACTCTTTGAATCCTATCCAAGCAAAATTGTTAAAGACCAGGTCTCACAGGTAACAATATTAAGAGAAATAACAAAAAACAGCATTCCAATGAGCAGCAATTTGGACAACTAATAGCTGAACTGAGTAGACTGATTTCTGATGGTCCTGTGGTTTACATGTGGTTAGAGAGACTAAGTTGTACGTTCTCACATACTTTATTCCAGACGAGGAATAGGTGTGCTAATGCAAAGCTTTTTCTTTTTCTTTTTTTAAAATAGGCAATGGAGGACTATGCTTAATTATTAATGAAGAGCATAAGTCTCTCATATTGAAAACTCACTATTTTATTAATGATTAAAGATTTTG